AGAATTAAAAATATAAAAAAAAAAAATTAAAATTTATTAATATTTAAAAATTCACATTATAAAAATGCACAGGCTTAAGCCGAGCCTGAAGTTACAAAAAGCTCGTCGGACCAGGCCTTTTGTAACCTGGCATACCCATGACAGGCTCAGGATGGACTTGGGCCTTTGTCATGAGGTCGAGCTTGGGCCTAGGCCAAGAGATACCTGGTCCCAACCCAGCCCATTGCCATCACTAATCATGTTGTTTTGACCTTCATTCATGTGACTTAAGAGATTCTTTTGCAAATAAATTTAAAAAACGCAGCATGAATATTATTGAATACGGTTTACTCAAACAAATTTTATAACCGAAAAATAAAAATGCATACATTGACAAGAGCTAAGGCCATGGATACAGACCATTTCTGAAGCAAGATATTACTATGTCAACAAGTAACCATATGTTGGTACATGAGATGAGATCTAATGGGTTGAAAATGATTCTCCAAGGAGAGACGAAACCACTTGGACTGGGCTAAAAGAAAAGGCCTAAACAAATTACAAGCGACAACGTTTCATGATTCAATCAGCTGTCAATACGCGTTGGTTTACACAAATTTTTGTAATATGATATAATTGAAATGAAATTAATGTAGATAATATTACATTCATGCAATAATACTTATAGGACAATCTGTTTATATAACGTTAGTGTATCAAAAAATCTATCTTCCAACAAATCAAACTTTATAAGTTGATGCAATTACTATATATCTTATAATGTTGAAAAACTTTGTGATTCCAGTGTCACTAACACTCTATTGTCATGGACAAGCCAACTGGACTGTTATGTTCTTATTCAGAAATTTGCAATCTGGAGAGAAAGGTATCTTGAAAAATATAAAAACTTTTGAACTTGGAACAAAATCCAAAGCAATTTAATATAATGTTTACCGTCTGCCAAGTGCCAAGAGAAGATTCTGCGTATAGCACTAGCATGCCAAAAGAAAATTCCAACTTTAAGGTGCCTGAAACAGACAAAATAAAAAATGCTGAAAGGTGAATAAGTTAATGAGCCAGAATAGTCCAAAAGAAAAGTTTGACACTCTAATGACTCTCATAAGAACCTTTTTGAGTGGTGAACTGGTGATGCATCAGTTACAATTGCCAATGTAAGCTTAATTTCTAGAGCTTAAGAAAAGATGAGTGTGATTGTCGAGTTAATACTCAATAAACAGTCAGAAAATCACAAGAAGATATGAGACAAAAAGCATTGACTTTGCACTGCACGGCTGCACTTCAATGAGAATGACAACACAGGATCAGCATGAGGATATGAGAATCCATACCCCACAATATCTTGGTCTGTTCTCAAGTGAATCTTTTTTAACACCAGAATCGTAGTACGTGCATTAACATGTTATAATTCAAACTATAGTACTTAAGAAAACCAAAGAGTTTCCAGACTCAACCCAAGTGTGGAGTTATAACCAAGATCTTACACCAACTTGAGCAAAACTTCATTGGTACGACACGAAATGGACAAAAATTGATGATTGGTTATGATTAAAACTATAGGCTTAGTTATTATCCATGATTTGTTTCTTTTCATCTCTTTCATGGACCATTTTATACAAGCCACAGATGTATTATCAACTAAGACTTCATCCCTCTATGGCTTCAGCAGTTTTACGTTTTGCAATCACATAGTGAAGATGGACACTATCTCTCACACAAAAAAATGCTTGTCAATCTTATGGGAAGGGTGTGCAAATCTAGTTCACACGATAGGCATTTTCCTCTGCATATGCCCACTCCAGAATTTTATTATACTTACCGACTACTGAATCCACCATTAAGAGTTTTCATTTTCTTAATTTCCCCTTCTTGTTCAAAGATTCCGTCTAGAAGGCCGTCTCTGTACGTAGGACCAGCTATCCAAGTTCAATGGACGAATCTTTTTCCGTCGGCATAAAGTTTTAGATTCCCAATCCCATATCTAACTTTTTTCCCCTCTACATGATATAAACGCTTAACAGAAGTGAATCAATTAGACAATTACTATTAGCATAAACCATTTGAAACTCTCTACAAAATTCATCAGCAAAGTTTACCCGCAACTTGTAATCAAGGACCACTAGCACTAGCAGAAGAACAAGTACTATGAGGAGGAATCCACAGATATTAATTTCCATTGGATAGTCTGGATGGATGATAAGGATTCCAAAATATCAAAAAGGAAAGTGTGTATCTCAAAGCATCACTTTTTTTTACGTACAGTCCTAGAAAGTTGCTCAAGTTATTTTCAACCAATGATCACGTCTAGCCCCCACTATTATGTGGCCGGTATCAATGACCCTGACTTTTGCAAGTTGGCACTAGGGGATCCACCTCTACGGAATACTGGCCAAAATTTATTATCTTTCAACTAATGATACTATGAATACAGATTATGAAGAAGCAGCAGAAAACTAAAGTGTGTTTTTACTTCTTATCTAGGATCAACATTATATTTCTTCAATGTGAACATCTTCCATTCTCCATAACAATAGTTCCTGGAATAGTTTCTAAAGACGTAAACATTATTCTTTACACTTCTTAAAAGAGATACCAGAATTTAATGCTACAGCATCATCAACAAGGAATGGTGGGCGGTACATTTCCAAGAAGTTTCCTATGCCTATTGGCATTCTGTTCCTTTCAACACTTAATTTTAAAAGTCGGTTATGTAAATTCTAGAATCTCCAAATGAACAAAATCAAAGTCTATTCAAACAAAGGCCAATAGGTAGGGCTAACTCTAAACCAACTTGCAGCTCAAATCCATGGCACCACAACAACCGCCCACCCAATTCAGATGCTAAAATTCAAACTTATATTCCAAAATCCAAACAGATATTAGTCACAATAAATTCTATCATTTTCTTGATTGAGATAAGACTGCATACTGTTGTTATGGTTCGAATGACATTTCTCCGGAGAACCTATATACTTAATAGAACATTAGATGGTACATTGGTATATTAATTGACCGACAATATTTGAAGTGATATGTGATAAAAGTGGGCTTAGATGAAATTCACTCTCAAAAACTAGCTCACTTTATCAATATGCATATGTGAAACAAAGATATGATTTTGTAGCAAACATGAAGGACTCATAGCATCAATAACTAGCTTCAAAAATAATCTTGGAATTCTGCCATGGCAGAAAAGCTTATGACCTCATGAAAGAGACATCTTTTCAATGAGTTCACATTTGGTGTGATTATTAGGAAGAGGAACAGACAATGGATCATCAAACAAAAGTGGAAGACTTAACCTTCTAGCACAGTCTGCCGACCTGATTCTTTCATTAATTCTACTATGGTAAACATAGAAAAATCAGAAGAGTTAAAAGCCAAACTGGCCATGAGGTTAATTACTTCTGGACAAAAAAAAAAAATTATTGTATTTCGGCTGCACATAACTTACTGAAACCAGCTAAGATATGATTGTGTATGTTCACCATTAGCAAGACTGAAAGAGATAATAGCCAGCCAAGCTTGTACCAATTGTTCAACCCGTTTAAGTAAAATTTCTAAGGACTTTTCCTTCTACAAAAGCTATAACCAAATGGAGAAATGAGAACAATGATTTCTAACCTTATTTAATTAAAAATTAAACAACAAGTGGGCAAACTCTGTGGGCCAATCTCTGTGTTTTGAGCTACTCTCCTGAAATTACAGCTAACAATAAAGCACATATAACATCCATATATGTCTTTTTGTTATATATAGTGGTAATGCATTCTGTCATTTCTTTAGTACTCAGGATGTGCTTTACAATTGCTTGGCTTATTATCCTGGATTATAACATCAACACGTTTATCTCATTGCAACAATTATAACATGATTATTTGCTCATCCGTTACTAATCATATGAAACAGAGTTTTATGAATCACCTTTATGATTAAGTTATTGAAATGACAGTCACCTAATCAATATTATTCCACCTCTAATCTTGCTTTTCATTTTTTTAATTAACAACTAAACTGGTACCAATCCCTATAAGATTATGTTGAATGAGAGAAAATGCCAAACCCACAAGAAAAGAAATGCATAATGTACATCTGTTCACCATAAACTGTTAAATGTTCTTGCCTCAACGAGAGAACTGACGATTTCTTTGCCCAAGTAACCAAACACCAAACGGAGACTCTTAAGTTAGGCAAACACACCCTTAACTGGAAAACCCCAAAAAGCAGATAGGGGGGTCCCGAATGCTAAAAAGAGTCGGTGACATATATAGACCATTCCCACTCCCCTCAAGAACAGACAAATAACATTTATCATTTTGTACGGACTTAGCTGGACGGCTAGGATGGCTTTGAAACACTAGTATAATCATTAAAGTTCATAAAAGCCTTCCTTGCTACAAGACTCTTTATCCTAGAATGCGTAGCTTGGGTTGCAGTTGCGTACATGAAAGTTTTAGTACGGACACTGAAGAGAATAAGACAAAAGTTACAGGGCAGGGCTGATATGAATGATCGAATTCTATCCGAAGAGATTTTCTCCCTGTTGTTTTATCTATGAGCTTGCTTATCTTCTAAGGTTTAAACCTAACAAAAATTACCTCGCCGTCCAAGAAATAGACAACTTCAACGTACCAAACCACGTGAATGATGTCGAAGTTTACTGGTAGAGAAGCCTTTCTTAGTTTATGGATTATACTATAATTAGAACATCTATTGGTAACATTATAAACTCCACATGATTAAAACTTAAAAAACAAAAAACTTTACTTTCCATCATATGATGTGTATATAAAGAAAGAAAAATACTTCAAATTTTTTTTTTTCAACTATTATCTTTTTAAGTTCTTGGAGATACTGATTCTCTTATACTGTTGCTCTTTCTTCGTTTTGTGGTTCCCAAGGAGACAAATCATTAAAATTCTAAAACATTTTGCAAGATTTATTTTCCAACTGGCTCTACCCCACCTCACCCCTTCTAAGCTGCTTATAAAGAGGAGGCACAGCCACCTCTTTGCGTAAATCATCCCCTTGACTAAGGTCTTTGTTTCTTTGACTCTCTCCATATCATTCTCGCTATCCTTTGCTTCAGCCTTTCCCAAATCCATTCTAAACTAATTTTCTGAGCCTAAATTACTACTGTTATTTCTATCTCAACCTACCAAATGGCTTCCAGTTCAATGTCATCTCGTGGCGGAGGCTCATGGACTCCTGAGCAGAACAAAGCCTTTGAAAGAGCACTGGCTGTGTATGACCAGGACACCCCCGACCGTTGGTACAATGTTGCCAAGGCCGTTGGTGGTAAAACTGCAGAAGAAGTGAAGAGGCACTATGAGGTCCTTGTTGAGGATATCAAACATATTGAGTCTGGCCATGTGCCCTTCCCCAAATACAGGTCTGCTGGAGAGGGTAGCAATGGAAACATGAGTGACAGGTAGTATACTAATTGCTAGACAAATGCTTTTGTTATTCTTTTTCTCAAGAAACCCAAAAAAAATGACCATTAAAATTATAGCTACTTTTTCTTTGGTAATTATCAGTCAACACTACCATGCTTTCTTGTCTTGTTGACTTTTAGAACCTTGTTTTCCCATCCCACAATTAAAGGTGAACAAAAATCTGGAAAAAGGCTTGTCACTGCGTCACCAAAGTCTTCTTCTTAACTCTCAACTTTTTCATGGATTCTCTTCTTTATCTCTCTCCTCTGACCCTTGTTAATAAGAGCACTGTTTGGCTAGTCCCTTATTTATAACTGTTTTCTATTTGCTTTTGATTTAGTTGTCCACCAAAGAAAAATAGTTCCAACAAAATCCAAACCATGTAGAGCCTTAACTGGCAGAAATTCATCCACATAACAATATAAACTTCTCCAACATAGTTTGATCTGCATAACTCCAACCATCGTACACCTCTAATTTTCTAATTCCTTTGTCCCCACAAGCACTTTCACGTGGCTTCAATCATTGATAAATTAGTCCCCCCTTATATTGAGTTTATGATACCAGAAATATCCAAGAAGACAAAATTTTTACAATTTATTATGCATCAAATATTTTCTACGCCAAAGACCTCTTGTTTTTAAGCTACAAGTTAACATACAACCCAATCCTCACAAAATTAACACATCTAATACATCCATTAAATTAAAAATCAAATAATCAAATATGCATCACAATATTTGCTAAAAAGAATTTAAAATTAATAACCTCTTTGTTTTATGCAGGATGAAGAATATGAAGCTCCGCTGAACTGCTACAAGCTCGAATCAAGCACCAATAAAGATCAAGATCTGCTTCGTAAAGACTTGTAGTTATCCAATAGGAGTATAGTATAACTAGATAATATTTCTAGAATCACTTAACCAGAAAGTCAGTGATTCTGTTCGTCTATCTTTTAAATTTCTATTGCACTCTTTTATCTTTCTATCAGAGACATTGAATCTCTGATCCGTCGTTTCCTCTGTAAGAATTACTCTACTTCACCTATGATTATGAAATTATTTAATATTACTCTTGTGTTGCTTCGAGTATCGAGTTATCATTGTTCTTTCGTGTGGCAAAGCAAAAAAAATTATAAACTGAAAATGAGACTGAAATTGAAATTGAAATTGAAACGAACCTGAATTTGAATCGTCCTTCGAACCTGCAAATTAATTGAGATTAATTAATTGACGCCATGGCTGATGAGAACAAAAGATGAAGATTTAAAATACTGTAGTACAGAGAATATAAAAAGCTAAAAGTAAAAAGGCGGGAAATCTTTTTTAAATTAATTAAATTTTAATTACGCCCTACGGGCTCCAATTTTAATTTGGAATTTAAAGGTTTATTTAATTAAATATGCTACTGTGTATTTAATGTTTTGCTATATTTTTATACACGAATAATGCTAGGTCCACAACTTAATCTCCCAACCTTTTGTCACAACTCTCAACATGACAGTTCATCATTGGTTAACTCGCTAAAAAAGGTCTTACTTATTCATTTGCGAAATAACCAATGACACGCTGCCACGTTAGAGATTGTGAGAAAAGGTTGTAAGATTTGATTGTGAACATAGCATATCACACATTAAAAGTGGTGTATATGAATTTCATGATATACTGGTCTAGTGGCTTAGAGTTTTGACATAGCAAAACGGCCCGTGCAGCACCCTACCATCATAATTGAGAGGGGGTAAGCCTACACATATGTTATTCATCGACTTGAGGTTTATTGGTTTCGTCCTATCATAGATTCATTAGGGAAGCAACTCCAACTTCCGACCAATTTGTGCAAGGATGGACTATTCCCTTCTTTATCGTCAACAACAAAGAAAGACTCCTAACAACTCCTGCACTCCACTTCCACAAAGCACCTCACTCCTAAAGAGTCTTATGAAGCATTACCAATGTGCCAAGAGGAAACNTAGAGTTTTGACATAGCAAAACGGCCCGTGCAGCACCCTACCATCATAATTGAGAGGGGGTAAGCCTACACATATGTTATTCATCGACTTGAGGTTTATTGGTTCCGTCCTATCATAGATTCATTAGGGAAGCAACTCCAACTTCCGACCAATTTGTGCAAGATGGACTATTCCCTTCTTTATCGTCAACTACAAAGAAAGACTCCTAACAACTCCTACACTCCACTTCCACAAAGCACCTCACTCCTAAAGAGTCTTATGAAGCATTACCAATATGCCAAGAGGAAACACACCCGACTTCTCAGTTGTCACACCCCACATGAATGCTCGTGAAACGCTTCATGTGCTACTCTTGTGATGACTCACGATATTGCGAAATAAGGCTATGACACTAGCATACTAAAAAATAAAATTTAAAGATTATAGATTTTAACAACAATTTCAATTTTGAAATTAAGTTAACAAAAAATTACAGGTCCTTTTGGTTTATTATTTTTACCATATCCTATTCCACTATCATATCCTAAAAACCCAAAAATGCATTTGTTTCGATATTCTCAAAATTCAATTCTATTTTATTCAACTCAAAACATTAATAATTACGGGTCTGTTTGGTTCACTATTTTGACACTTCCTTTAATAGTTTTTTGAAAAAAGTTGAGTTGAGTTGAATTTGAATATTTTGGATTGATATGTGAAATGAAGAGCAATTTTACTGTTTACCTTTATTGAGAAAACCAGAATAATATTTTAAAGAGTGAACCGAACAAACCCTACTTTTTTCGTAGAGATAATTCAACTCAACTCAACTTTACTTTTTCTAAAATACTATTCTAAAAAGTATCAGAATAGTAAATCAAACAGAACCATATTTTTGTTTATTATTATTATTTATTTTATAGCATGGTTAGAATTTCTAACACCCCTCCTCCCGTTCGGCATGCACCAATGATAAACAAGAGCGAAAAAAACTCATTCTCAAAAGCTAGTTTAAGAGAAAAGAGAATCTAACCACGTGTATACACCATAACCCACTAAATTGATGATGTAGGAAAAATATAATTTATAATATTATTATTTATTTGAAAATATCTATATGTCTTTCTTAGCTGTAATATTTAAATATTCCTTTGGAATTATCCGACAGTATTACAAAAGTCGAATTTATAAGATTTGCTGAGAAAGCAAAAGAATTTGAAAAATAAAAGAAAGATTCAACTTTTAGGATATATTTTGTTGAACAGATCAATATTCATTTTTATCACCCTCTTTTATCTTATCTTATCCTTCTTTACGAAAGGTACTAATACAAACCAATAATTCAATAAACTGTTAATTTTAGATATAAGTTTCTATCAATAGGATTCGCCGTCTCCTCAAATTACTGTTTCACTCAAAAAGAATTTTTATTTTATATTAATTTATCTCAAATTGTTTTTTCTTTTCAATAAATAAATTAAGAGTAAACGACTTTTTCCCATCCAAATAATGAAATAATAGACACTTTCCTACCCATAGACTTTTAAAATATTTTTTTACTATTTAAATTTATATTTCATTTCTGATTCTGACATCGTTGCGACCTCACATCATTATAATTCTCTTTCTCGATCATCACTCACAAAAATCTTTTAAACCCTACTCCCGTCAAACCCGTTAATTGCACGTAATCGAGCAATAATTTAGACCGAATTAATTCTCATTTTATCGTCTATTAGTGAAAAAGTGTCATTAAATAATTATTTAAGTGGCAAAAAGTCGTTAACTTATAAATTAATGTCTCATGGATCTCCTTTTGGTGCTATATCTCTATTAAGTGCGTTGTGTGCCCCAAACATGGAGCATAAGACTGATTATAGTAAAAATTAAAAACAATAATTGGCCACGTGGATGGATTAAGGTCTAGATCTTTCTAATTAAAGAAAATGATTTGAGAAGATCTTGGACGTTAAATTATTACCTTTCCATACTTCATGACAGCAGGGCCATCATGTCTCCAGTTTTGTGCTTAAAATTAATGATGCTTTTATTATTATTCCTTTCAATATCGGATAAATTGGTCTAATCAATAAGCTTTATATATACCATTAAAAGACAATTTTGTATATATATTTTTTAAATAAAAATAAAGGCTTTTTTTTTTTTTTTTCAATTTTGTAACCTAAATATCTGGGTTTTATCTGTACTTTAACTAATTTAACTAATTTTTGAGGTCTATTAAATATCTTATAATTTTTTTTCTTTTTGGTAACTTGAGTATCCAGGTCAGTTTGTACGCACTTTAACTAATTCTCTAAGTCTATTAAAACATCTTACAAGCCTAATAGGTCAAATAAGTTATAAATATGGTAAGTGATTACTTTGTGAGACTCGAATATAAGACATCTGAATAACCCACCCAAATATCTAAAATTTGATTATCCGATTACAAGACTAGTGGTTAATATAAAGATAATAAAAAACAAAAATAGTATAAAATAGTCCATTAAACACCCTATAGGTCTAATAGACCAAATAAGTCACAAAATTGATAAATGATCACTTTATGAGATTCGAACATAAAATCTTTGAATAATTACTCAGATCACTAAAGTATTGCCGTCCGATCACAAGACTAATAGTTAATATAAAGAATTTTATATTAATAGAAAACAAAAATAGTAATTAAGGACCGAAAGTTTACGACAGGGTTTGAGAAAGCCTAGGATTAGACCTAAATCGAAGACGTTAAAGACTAATGGCTGGTTGAATCACCTGCATCATTGGGTTTAGTGACCTAATTAAATGATATATATATATATATATAGCTTCTAGTTCCAAGATTAGAAGCTGGCACAACTTGCCCAGTACATCCCATTTGAACAAACAAATTACGTATCAAAATAACCTTCTTCTCTTTCCCAAAATAATGTAACGATGTGCCCTAAATAGCCCACATGGGACATGGCTCTCTCATTGCCGACGAATAGGAAACGGGTTTAGTCAAAAGCACTTTGAGAATTATCCCAATCTCCCTGCTTTTAAGGCACAACTTACTCCTTTTAGTAATAGTTTAAACTAAGAAATAAGGATGTTCATGAAGATGATTTTTCTGGGTATTTTCTCAAAAGAGTAATAAGAGTCGTCAATCTGGACTTTTGGGTCACCGATTTAACTCTCATTCGGCCGATAGTTTCAAGGTCCCGAAAGATTAGTTAGGGTATGAGCAAACTGTTTCGGACACTCTGGTGATTTTAAAAAAAAAAAAAAATTGATGCAACATAAATAATAATTAATTATTGTCTTGGATTCTAACATATGGAGACACTAAAAGAGTTTGGCATGTAAAATTGGGATGATTTTGACAACTGGAATCTCCCCTCAATCAAATCAAATTGAAGGAACATGTGAGTGTTAGGTTGGTTTGTTGAGCTACCTCTCACCATCTACAAGATGCATGTTCCCTTAAACAGCCTCCCAAGAGTAACCCAGTAGCCCAACAGCCGAATCATATTCATCCCTGATTTAAAAAAATTATGCTCCCCACCACAGAACAAGTACAGAACAATAATGACAGCTCAACTTTGAATGAATTTTAATCTTGACCTCAATCAAACCCAAAAACAAACTGAGTACATTGAGGTTACTCATATTCAATCGTTTTTTTTCTCAAGGAACCAGAAGAAACCAGGTCTAAAAGAGTTCAACAGTACACTTCAAAACATTTTCCCCAACTTCATATTCACTAACACTCAATAAGGGCATCTTTTGATTGCTGAAAATCAAATGACAGTTGCTTTGCACCATCCAGTCATCCACTAATTCAATTATACCAGTGCTTTTCATGGAACCAATGATTCCACAATGTGTGTAGCATGGTTATACCATGAAAATTTTCTCAAATAAAAAACTATAAGTATGCAAAAATATCATAGTCCCACAACAGTGGAATTTTCATGAACATAGTGAATTTGAATTGGCTCGGTTAGATTTGTTAAATTGACATATGAAAGGTTACTCAGTTTTAACAGTTTTGACATATACAAGTTCATGAAGCTTTAAACTTGTTGCCAAGTTGTTACAAGAAGGAAAATATTTTAGTCTGACACTGTTGTTTGAAGTGGTAGAGAGCTTTCCCTTTCCTTGCTGTTAGAACTTCTTTCTGCAACAACTTTTGACATTCCAAACATCTGAAAAACCAATCCAAACCACCAGCCCGTCAGAAATTACTATCACAATGAAAAAAGTTTATAAAGAGAGGTGGCATTGGCATTTGCAAGGAAGTTGAAAGTGAAAATGCACCTTTTGGATAGTCTTTGTAAAACAAGTTTTGTGTTCATCCATTGACGCATCGATGAACTCGTCAATGTGATCCTTCAAATCCTCCAAGAAAGTGGTTTCTTCACTCTTCTTCTTACGACATGAAGTAATGGCCGGAGCTTGGGCAACAGAAGATGGTTGTTTTTCCTGTTGACTTTTTTGTGTTTCCATCCTTGGTAACTCCTGATACATAATAAGTACCAAAATTTTACCAACACAAAGATGATAAATAAATTCAGAAAGAAGATCCCGTAAGCGCCCCAAAAAAATTATGCACTCAGAGTACTCTACAAACATGGTTGCATTATAGAACAGCAATTGCTACTAATTGCAACAGCTGCTTTTAACATACAAAATGGGCAGAGAAAACATCAACAGGAGATAGATAGAAAATAAATTCAAGTATACATAAGTAAATATCCTTGGTACTCATAACTTACAAATTGAACATGAAGAGTTTAAATTTGTATATTACACCACCACTCCATTCCCTGGATTTTGAAACTGGCTTTCATTTGAAAATTTACAAGTCCTAATCACTGTTTTTAGTTCTCACAGTAGTAAGAATATTGAAAGGAATTGATGTAAGACCAACTTTTATCCAAACAAATTACATTTGTTCCTTCTTTTTTCATTCCTTTTTTCCTCTTCACTGAACAAAATGAACGAAAAAATGCATGCCAAACCCAAAAATCTCAAGTCCTCAGCCATTATTTATTCCTTCAATCTAATGCACACACATTACATGTATTCAAAACGTATATAACAAAAATTAAAGCATTCACTAATCAATCAAACCCAAAAAACTAAACCATTACTGTATTTAAAATAGCACCCCACCTGTTTCATGAAATGCCACAATGGAGGCCACAAAAACATAACACATTCCACCTAATCATTCCACTATTAACCAAGAGATCACCTCAGATGACATGTATTCTTCTTTCTTTTCGTTAACCATCAATTCAAACCATGAATAATTTCAAACTCTAGCGACAATATGATGTAATCAAAATCCGGAAAACACGTACCTGTGGGCACAACTGAAGCAGAACAGAAACTTGAAAGAGAACCCAAATTTGATCTTTTATTATGCAATCGGCACCGCTAGGCTCGGCTGCCTTCGAACGGTGTCGTTTAGGGTTTATATTGGAGCTATTGACCATCAACTCATTGGGCCCAAGCCCACACTTCTTGATCTTCTAGGGATTTCAGTCCAATATCATGATACAACTTTTTTTTTTTTTTTTTAATAATCTGGGCATCTCGGCAAATTTGCACGCAAATAAACTAATCTCTGAGGTTCATGGAACACCTTACAAGCCTAATGAGTTAAGTAAGATACAAATATGGTAGATTGTCACTTTGTGGAACTCGAACACAGAACCTCTTAATAACTCACCCAGATGGATAAAGTCTTGTCATTTAGCTACAAGACTGGTGGTTTATCATAATACAATTTCAAAAGCTAAGAAAGTGTTTGTATGATTGTGTCTTTCACCTTCAAATACAACATTGTTGTACAGTCATGACATTATTTTCTTCTTTTCTTGGGTGCTTTTTGTTATCTCTTTAGTCTTTACCTAACATTAAAGTGGCAAAATTGCCTCCACAAACTGGCCATTCATGGACATTTATGTGTGTGGCTCATATATTACTTGAGCTTGCGTAGATTGCCAAATGAAGAGATATTAAAATTATAGAGCAAAAGTTGAGCATCCATTCATCTATTCAATTAAGCAAAGAGTATTATTATGTTCCGAAGTGAATTTTATCCTTTTCTTTTGTTGCACTATGGGAATCTCTCCAAATGTAGCGACTCTATATGTTTTTCTAACAATAAAATATATGATAATATATGTTGATGCACAGATTTACACCAATCAGAGATACACAATTGACAATGTTAGAACGATGTAGGATATGTGCATAATCCTGATGAATCAACAATAGAATAATATGGTGCTGAATATGCAGCAATCGACATAAAATATTAAAGAACAAGAATTTTTTTTTTAAAGTGGTTCGACTGCTTATAATACAAAACATATATTCATTGTTATGTTATTGAATATGTGAAGTAAGCAAGTTGTCTTTACAATCGTTTTTAATGAGTTCTCTATGACCTAATTTAATCATCCATCTAAAATAGATTATAATGAGGTTTATATAGTACCAATTACAAAATTGAGTTAGAGATAAACCCAAATTCGATAAACAGGAAAGAGCGTGATCTTTGGCTTTGGATCATGAAGCCAACATCGCAAGATATCTTCATACCAAAGAATAATTTATCCGTTCCGAATTTCTCGCACAACAATCAAAATTCTCCGAGAAGATACGTTAAGCGCATAATTATAGCCACGATATTTCGTATGTCTATTGTAAAGAAAGACAAATCACATTAAGAAACGTAACCCTCTCACATTTCAATTTTAGTGTGTTGAAAATCAAAACAAAAACTCAATTGTCCTTGTATGTTTATTTTTTTGGTGTTATTTGAAGGGAAAAGTACAACACAAGCAAGCCCAGAAATAAAATTGTGACTCAAAACATTCGAGAAAAATAAGAAAACAATTTCAAGTAAGAAATAATAACAATAATAATCAAGACTCTAGAAGTCTCTTCTACCTAACCGTACCAAAACTATTTGCATTATATGATTTGGGAAGGAATTGATTATTCTAATTAATTAATTAATTAACTGGATATCTAGTAATACGATAAACTATTTGCATTATATGATTTGGGAAGGAATTGATAATACTATAATGTCTTTATTTCAACAAACTTGTTGGAGTGGGTTAATTTTAATTTATGTACAATAATTAATTGACCATTATACTCAATAAATTAATTTTGGAATTAATTATCTTATCTGGGTAGTACATTGTCATTTTTTTATATGATCGTAGGTATCCTGTTAACTTGTGCGTATATCAACTAATGACCTAAGACCCTAAACCTATCAGTCAGATAATAACTTTAGTGATCATGTTTATTGAGGGTCGTGATGACTCAAACCCGGGAGATCATATTAGATTTTTTTCTTACTTTTTTACCATTAAAGAGACTCGAATTTAGGAAATCGTGTTAGATCCTCTTTTTTCTTTTACCATTATAGCATCCGGTGGTTTAGTATATAATCATTTGTTAATGATCATTATATTGACAATTTAAAATTTGGTTTGAAAATGTCTTATTACTTTCAATAATGTTATCAATTATTAGTCATTTGGCCCCATGCCCATGCCCATCACATCCAATAATTTAATTTAATTTAATTCAATTTCTTATTTAACAAGAAAAGAAAAATATGAAAAAGGAAGTGGGGACCCATATGGTAAAAATATTCTACTATATTTGTTGTTATTACTTGTTTTAGTAGACAAAAAGAGTGTTAAATGAGATTACAAGTAGTTGAACTAGGTTTAACTTGTTAATCAAGTGATTAAGAAATAAATAATTAGTTTATTAGTCTAAATCAGGGTTTCTTCTTGTTGTTACTTAACCACTGGCTTTTGATAGGTAATGATAGAAATGGGTTATTAGAGATTAATAACAATTAAAAATTGTTGTTATATTGACAAGAAAATCATACCCAATAGAGAAACCATGGTTAATTACCCATTTAATTAATTATTAATAAGGTTGTTTTACTTTTGATATAGTGTAAAAGATATAAAAACCATTTATTTATATAAAATTGTTGAGTGTAAAATTAAAACAATTTTTTTATTATTAACCGGTCATTTTCTTTTTTCGTTAGTTAAGGAAGCTTAATCAGAATGAATCACAATTTTTCTTCTATGATTGAACGGTATAAACATTAATAACTTCGAATTTGATTAGTTTCTATTCAACAAATAAGCGTTTGAACCAATAAAATCCTATTTAATAGAGAGATAGTTGGAGAAGTGACCAAACCCTTTACTTTTCATTACAAAACCAATAAACCAAAAAAAGATGAATTATTTTGTGAAAGACTTTTTGGGTCTATCAAAAGTGGAATTTGTGTTTGTGGAAATTATCAAGTAATTGGAGATGAAAAAGAAGACTCGTGTTTAGATAAGTTTACGTGCACGTTAACTCAGCGAAAAATCAAATTTAAAACTGTAGGTTGAAACCATGCATAATCCTTTTGGTTCGCCTTTATCATTAGACTATGTATGTCTATGAGTGCGATAACTGGTCAGTTTTATGATGGACTACTTTAGATATTAAATAATCATATATCCTTTAATAATTAATTATCATAAGATAATAACAGATTTCAGAAGTTTGACCATAATAAAAAATTAATAAGAATATATTAGTTTATTATTGTTGTCACGTTTTTGGGTCTAAGTTAACGGCGTACTTGGAGGGTTTAAATAAATAATTAAAAAGAAAAATGAAAAAAAATCTGCCTAAAGTGATTTAAAATTAGATTTGCTGAGAAGATAATCCGTGATTAAAGTGATATTGTAATCTTTTTTTTCTCTTTAATTAACATTTAATGATATCCAATTATCCACTAGGGCTGATTTCGGAAATATACTACAATCTCGTGTCTTTTTATGTAGTAAACACTAGTTGGTTTAATATCCCATAGTTTTGACGGATTATTAGTTTTTTTTAATTTATATTGACATTTTTACTAACCCAAATTTGATTAATCTAATATCCAAAATTTATCACTCGAGTTTTTATTATATAAAATAGATAATATTACATTTATAACCCAATTTTACAAATTTTTTTCATAATTCCGATATGTTAGTGTTTGCAATTAGTCAGTTCATAATTAGTTGTGAAATAAAGTTTGTAAAATTGAGTTTTGAGCTAATTGATATAAAATGAGTAAACAACATTTTTCCACCCAAATAATGGTTTAATGACACTTTCTCACTCACAGATTTTTAAAATACTATTTTAGTACCCAAATTTATATTTTGTTTCGTGATCCTACACCACTATCATTCTCTTCCTCGATCATCACTCACCATAACCCCTTAAACCTACTCTCATCAACCTTGTCAATCATCGATAATCTAGCGATTTAAATTTACACAGCTGCCTTCCTAAGTCAAATTTCAATCAATCACAACCACTAAAATTCAATTTTCTATCACAAAAAAACTCATTAGCTTTCTCTTTTAAAAAACCTTAATATTTATGATTAAGTTTGTTTTATGTTTATTGTCCGAATATAAATTTGAATATCACAACCCTTAAAATTCAATTTTTTATCATAAAAAACTCATCAGTCTTCTGTTTTAAAAAACCTTAAGGACTAAGTTTGTTATATTTTTATTATTGAAATATAAATTTGAATAATAAAATAATATTTTAAAAGCTTATGGTCAAAAAAGTGTTATTAAAAGTAGAAAAAAGCCTAGTTAGTAAATTCGCGTTTTATAAGCGAATTATACACCCAATCATATAATTCGCGTATAATTCACGTATAATTTACATATAATTCGACCGTACTTTTAAAAATAAATTTTTGTTATTTACTGAACCAAAACGATATCATTTTAGATGAAATTTGATTAAAATGACGCCGTTTTATGCTCAGTCTCTTTTTACCAAGCATGACATCAGTCTCTTTTTGGCGCATTTTCTTCTCTTTTTTGCGCCCGCTTCCTTTCTCTTTCTTTCTTTTGGCGCCCTCTTCTTTCTTTTTCTCTTCTTCTCTTTTTTGGCGTCTACCTCTCTTCCTCTTCAAGTATTCTTCAACAAACACCACTCTTCATCTTATCTTCTTCTTCTTCAACTTGAAAGGCAAATAAAATTATTTGTTTTATTTAATAATTGGTTACTTCTATAATATTTATAATAATAAACTAAAATATTATAATTAAAAAGATATCAATCATACACCTATAAAAAAAAATAGAGAATAATTAATTCAATGATCATAAAAATATTAAAATCAGGATTAATATTAGCGTATTTTTCAAAACGTATTATTGATAATATATCGTATTAAACCCGTACCATATTTTTCCCGTATCCGAATTTTAAGGCTGAATTTTTATAAACGTATTTTTCACCGTTTGCTGTATTATTCTCGTAAAATTTTCGTACCCTTTTTTTACCGTACCCGTATTTACTAAATATGGAAAAAAAGC